AATATTTAGTTTAAAAAGGGTATAATAAAACAATCTTAATTTTAACAGCAATATACTTGGTTACAAACATGAAGTCAAGGGTATGGTCCGATACTAACCGAAATATCCATTACTCGGTCCAAGACTCTGCTTGACATTCCTGAAAAAGCGATTAAATTAGGGACGCGGTTACCTGAAAATGGTGAGTCAAACGTCAATTCACTAACCATTAAATTTTTACGGTTACCGTTAAGTCAAATGTCAATATAACTCTCGTTTGTGGTCCAAATGAAACGAACAAATTAGTTTTTTCAGGAACCGCTGTCAAAAAATCCTGGTTAGTTACGGTTTATAGGGGTCTATTCTGTAACAATTCCTTTATATTTAACGGCCTTTAAAAATATTGGCGGCCTTTAAAAGTATATTTGTATTCGTTAATTTACTTCTGTCATTATTTAAACAGATTTCTTTAAGATAATCCTCTAATGTATGTTAAAGATCCGTTTAAATAATGACAGAAGTAAAGAAGAATATATTTTTAAAGGCCGTTAAATATAAAGGAATTTTTACAGAATAGACCCCATTGTCGGTTAATAGTCGGTTAATATCGGACCATACCCCAAGTGACTATATATTTAAAAAATGTCATTGTCAAAACACGGGACAAAAGAATAAACATAGACGCGTTCCGAAGTATAACCATGTTCAGTAATTACGTACATCTTTTTATTAATTGAAGAGTAAAGGTACCAAATGCACCAAGTACCAAGTACCAAGTACCAAGTACCAAGTACCAAGTACCAAGTACCAAGTACCAAGTACCAAGTACCAAGTACCAAGTACCAAATTCATAAATATAGAATAATTAAGAAAACATTTTTATTAAGCTTATCTTTTTTACCTTTTACGGGCCACTTTATTTTAATCCACATAAGCTTAGAAATTATATGACACTGAGAACCTTTGTGGATATATTGGTGATAATATTTACAACCATTTTAAGCAGATAACCAGAAAATTTAGATTTTGGCTTTTAGTGCCTTTGGTACTTCTACTCTTCAATGGATGAATACAGTACCTTAAGGGTATTCACATAATCCAATACATTTTATAAATGTCAAATTTTACATACGATAATGACTTAGTCATTAGATCAGCATATCAGTAGATACATGTGCAAGTTTTATAATATCATCTGAAATTAATTCTCTAATAAAATGATGTCTGACATTGATATGCTTTTGTTTCAAGCGTTTTAGCCATTATGATGCATGACTGATTGTCTTCATAAATCAATATCTAATTAGTAGGTTTACGAATTAAATCTTCTGAAACTTGCTTGAGAAATAGATATTCAGCTATACAATTTGCTAATGCTACATACTCAGCTTATGAACTTGACAGAGCAACATTATATTGGCATTATTTTTGATTGCAAATTACGTTTTGAAGAGCATATTTCATTGTTGGTAAAGAAATCTTATTTAGTTCTTCGTCAATTATATAGGAACCGAGGAATTTTCAGTTTTCCCTTGCGGAAACTTCTTTGTGAGAGTTTAGTTTTATCGATTATAAATTATGGCTTGGTTTTATTTTATCCTTGTTTAGATCAATTTACGAAGTATATGTTACAAAAAATCCAAAACTCATGTTGCAGATTTCGTCTAAATTAAAACAATTAGAATGGCTCAAAATAGAAAATTTATTTAAATTACAAATGTCTGCTTTAATCTTTCGCATTTTGTCGACTTCTCAACCTGCGTATTTAAAGGAAAAATTACTATATCGAGGTGATGTACATAATGTAAACTTAAGATATCCAAACACTCTAACACTACCCAGATTCAATCTAACCATGTTTCACCGTTGTTTTACTTACAATGCTGTAAATATTTACAATACTGTTCCATTGGAAATAAGGACGCATTCTTTGAAACATCCTTAAAGACGCTTAAAATTTAGTTTATTAGCTAATCAATGAGAGCATTGCATTATGATTACTACCTTATACATTTATTTTTATTACCATTTCTTAAATTTATTTTTAATACCTTTTTTAAATTGCTATTGTTCTATATAAAATCAGTTCTGTAAATCAATTTTTATGTCTTCTAAATATTATTTTGTTTGTAAACAAATTACTTACTGTTTAGAGGATAAGTGGAGTAGCTTAGCTAGACTTCGCCTCTATATATTTTCATGTATTGTAATGCAAAATAAAGGCACTTTATTATTATATTATTATTATTAATAGGTTGTTTCTTTGATTAAAAAAAAAAAAAAATAACATTATTAAGCCTTAAAAGAAATCCACTAATCATTAATATTATGTGCAAAATCAGAATAGACAAAAGCATTAATATATACATTTTGACTATCGGTTTTATTATAGATTAGACCATAATTTTCAGTTTTCTTCAGATAACATTCTCCAATGATTTTCATCAAAACAATTTTGAAACGGCTGAAATAAGTAACTGCAAAGCAAAGGACAGGCCTTGTACCCAACATAACATACATAAGTGAACCTATAAGTTGTTTGTATGGTACATGTACAGTAAAATTTTCTTTGATTTTCATACTCATTAGATAAGTAGATAAGCTAATATCCATGTGTATGTAGAAAAAAATATTTACAGTTCCTTTCCAACAAACATATGGCAAGTCATCAGAGGCCCCTAAAAATAAGTAGAGTAGTTTCGGGAAATATTGCAACAACTCCACCCACAAAGCGTCGAAGTGGGAAACACACGAGGTTTGAAGAAGAATTGGATAGGACGCTTGCCCTTTCGCAATACATCCCGAAACTACTTTCCGTTACTTCCAGTAATGGCCTTTCATTGAGGTTCTGGCATTGGTATGTTGTCTTTTTCTCACAACGGGCCGTCGTCACTTGTATCACCAATAAGCAGTGAAAGACATGAAAATGGCCAGCAATTTCTCATATTAGTGTTAACTTCCATTCCGTGGGCTTGCATAAGGCTCGTAACTTTACCAGGCATAATAAGTAGTGAAAGGCAAATGGCCATGACCAGAAGTTTTCCATAAAATGAATATTAACTTACATAATATAGCTCGTTACTTTACTAGCAGTTTCCCATAATATTAATGTTAACTTCCCTTTAAAGCCATTAAAAAAATGCCGGGGGCCAAAAACGGAATGTACAACGTGTGACACATCAAAGGAAAAGTAATTTTTCTGGGAATGCAACATCTCATTTGACAGCTAATTTTATTAGTAATTCCTACTTCATATGACATTACCCTGAATGTTTCCATATTACACTTGTAACAAAATCAAGTTAGTACCTACAGTATAATATTTAATTACTGTTTAAGTTCTTTTTTAAAATTTATTTAGATAAATTTTATGTGGTATATTACTAATAAAATTAGCTCTCATATGAGATACTTTGTATTACATAACACTGAGGGGGCTAAAATCAAAATTACCTTTTTAATAAAATGTCACATGTGATAAGGATATATTCTCTATCCAACTGTTTTAAGTTCATGAGATATATCTATTGTAAATTTTTAAATTGCCACTCTGTATAATAATTATCTCAATACAATTAAAAACAATTTAGATAATGGATTGGTCTGAAAAACACAATTAAATTTGTGGAAGATACAATTTCCACTCTAAATACAAGACTACAAGAGGTTATGTTATTCTTCTCTTTTTTAATATTTATGGGAAATAGTTGAAAAGCCATCAGCGACCCTTCGAATAATTAAAGTTAAGATGCAATTCATTACAAATTTCAAACGGACCATAACTATTTTACAGTTGTATGTGGGAAACATGTAAAAAGCCATCAAGGGCCAATCGAAAAATGACAAGACAATTAAATTTCAAACGGGCTCTACCGATTATACAGTTGCATGTGGGAATAAAAAGCCACCAGGGGCCCTTCGAATAATTAAAGTTAAAGGGCAGTTAATTACACATTTCAAAAGGAGAATAAAAATGTTACTGCTACGAGTTGGAAACAGTTAAAAAGCCATTTGAATAATTAACATTAAAGGGCAGTTAATTAAAAATTTCAAACGGGCCATAACGATTTTACAGTTGCATGTGAGAAACAGTTAAAAAGCCATCAACGGACCGACGAAAAATTAAAAAATTAAAGAGCAGTTTATTACAAATTTTAAAAGAGCCATAAATATTTTACTGATATAAGTTATTTTGCTATCAAATTCGTTAAAGGCCAACGACTTATCACGAATTCAATTTTTGTTGGGATTACATATTGTCATGAAATTCCTAATCCGATCCTGTGATCAAAGCAAGCGCGACCTTCAGCTGGCCCCGACTCATGCTCGAGGCGACGGAATGTTCTGGGAATGTCGCTGAGGCTCGAGAAACGGGTAGAACGGGCAGAGTGTGCCGTTGAGTTAGAGATGGAATTTTTCGGGACCGTCTAGAGACTTCTAGTAGCAGAGTTGGACTTAATATAAATAGCCCAACTCATCGTCGGACAGTTTAGTTTAGTACAGAGTATTGGAATGAAAAGTTAAATTGTAATAAATAAATTAGAATTGTTAGTCAGTGTCTAAGTATTATATAAATTAAATAGTACATCATAAATAAATTGTAAATAGTGTGTTTTAAATAAATAAACTATAAATAAATTAGACTATCGTTACAATATGAAACACCATGTATATTTAAAAATAGTTTTAAAATGTGGTAGTCAACAATGTCTACAACTTTTGTATTCAATATTGTTCTTATCTGCAATAATAATACGGCTATCGAGCAGAGTATGCACAAATAGGCCACCCGGTAGAATATCCGGTATATTTCTTACATAATAAATTATTAATGAATATCAAATCTGACATTTGCCTTGATAACCTGAACTTTTCCTGTAACACATTATTTGAAAACTTTTGACCGTTACGCTATTATTCATGATGAGCTATTTAAATAATCTGTTCTAGGTTACAAGTTTGACCTATACTTCTGAACGCTGCAATTATGAATTCTTGATATTTTCGTTTTATTTTTACAGCAATACAAAATGGCGATCCTAGTTTACTGTTAGTCCCTAGAGATTCCGCAGGACGTAGATGCGGAAGAGATGTGTTGCACAAACCTTATTTGTTCTTCCACGATTTAACGCGATGTTTATCGCCTACAACTCCCTTTACAGGGTGTCCCACGCCACAAGTAAGTACAACATTGGACAAATTGTTTGTATCTCAATAACTTTTTAGATGTTACCACGTTACCAGTATACAAATTGAATAACGCCAAGTTAAAGAGATCTGTTATGCCAAAAAAATTCCAGCTACATTTGGGATGTTTTTTGGTAAATTTTTTATTTTATAGGGTGCTGATTCCAAAAATTATCCCCCTTTCTATCTATCATGTATAGTTTTTTTGCAAAATTATGCAAAACTATGCATAATTTTTCTTATACTTGAAAAAACAAAAAAAAAAAACTATTCCTTTATGACGACACTACATGTTTACTCTTTCTATCTGGGAAACCTTTATTTCTTCTCTTTGATATTCATACTAACACACTTCTGTTTTGCCTCTGAGCATCCAGAATCAGCTAGCATGTTGACGTTCCATTTTTCCTGGTGAAATCTTTCACCCTAGGTTTCACCATAGGCTTCTAAGTTTTCGAGAAAACAATAAATAAGGAAGTGTCATACGAGTTTTGTAAGAAAACACGACGTGATAGAATTTTTTAAATAAAAAATCTATAAGAAACTGTCAAAAAAAACAATTTTTGGTTGCAGACATTTCTGTTTTGAAATGTAGCGTGCTCTGGAATATTAATATTGACAGCAAATAATAACAAAATGCATATTGTCTGTGTTCAACTATTACAGAACACAAAAATTAGAAATCAGTGTAACCAAAACATAAGCCACTTAATATGGCGGCCAGCATGAAGGGGTAATTTTATTGTATTTGCAGCATACCCATAGCGGTATCTAGATTTTCTGCGAGCTATGGTCAACCGTTATTGAACCATATGCCCCTGACTGGTTTAAAGATTTTAGCTTTGGTTAAAAATATTTCTTTTGTGACGTCAGAGTTGCAACTAAAATGTAAACGGTTTAAAAAAGTCGAAAATATTTTGAACCAAACGCTCCCTAAAAAGTACCTCTATTAAAAAACATGGCAAGAAAAAGTGACATTATGGTATAAACATAAACGAAGGGGTACGTTGCGAATACACAATGTAATGTGTAAGTACTTCTCGCGGATACATGTTATAGTAAATTACATTATTAGGTTCTGTCAACATAACAGGTAGGTTAAATAGGCAAGTAACAAATAAAAGTTTTGCGAAGTTTTGATTTCCCTTAACAACCTCTCATGAACGTTATATAGTAATGTTATTATGTTCTCTTAAAATAATATCGTCGAAAGCAGTGGAGGCTGGTGGCCAAAACATTGGGGGTTCACAATGAGAGAATATAGGTCTCAGTACAGATTTAGGTAAAACATTTTAAGTCTTTTGGAAAGGTATATTATAAATACTGAAAACTTTTTACCTAAATCTGTACTGAGATCAATAATCTGTCATTGTGAACCCCCAATGTTTTGGTCTCGAGCCGCCACTGGTCGAAAGGCTTGGCCACGTTATGTATTAGCCTGGTCTACGGTGGACTATAAGGTGCATCAACTCCTATTTAAAAACAAATGAAAACGGTGATAAAACCTGGCGTACTTCCTAGCCAAAATCCGCTAGGTTTGCTAGTGTCTATCCGGCGAGAAAGTAAATAAAAGATAAAAGTAGGAGCTGCAATTTAAAAAGTGTTGACAGATAAATATTTTTTAAAATCTTAAAATTAGTGATGCCGCGAGACGAGAGATTCTCGTCTCTCGTCTCGTCTCGTCTCGTCTCGTCTCGTCTCGACGAGACGAGAGAGACATTTTCTCTCGAAATTCGAGACGAGACGAGAGAGTGTCTTCTCTTGATGAGAATTTCTCGCTTCTCTCGAGCTCTCTCGAACATTTTACTTTTTGCTTATTTGAAATTTTCAATTGTTTATCGCAACTTAAAATTTAAACCTCGGATATTCAGAAAGTTAAAAAGTTAACTATAACACACGTATTCAATATACATATTAAACGGTAACAAATAATATGTGTGTAATTGGGATTTTGAAGTAGTAATTTATAAAGTAAATATGTCATTTATTTAAAATTCATTTTTTTATCAAACTTTAAACGAAAACGGTTATATTCATCTTCACTGATTACGAAAAATATTGTTTACATAGTTCTTGGAATAATTTTTATGACTAGAAGATAAAAATTGTATAAAATTATTTCCAAGCAGCTTCTGATAATAAAAAACGGATCTTTAAAAAAATATATATATATATATATATATATATATATATATATATATATTTTTTCGATGATTAATTAAAGTTTTTATTTTCCAACTTCGTAAATTGCTAATAAAAAACTGAAAAATTGTTTTTTTTCCAACGGGGATCTATTTTAAAGCCATTCAGAATTAGCTCCAAGGAAGGAAAAAATCTCAAATGTACAGTTTCACAATTATCACACTTGCAATGTACATGTTCAAGCAGCAAAAAATTATTAATTAACTATTCCATAACTAATTAAAAAATTGCGATAAAATGTTTTTGCGGGCGGATAATTGTTCATTTATGTGCCTGAATTTTTTTCATTTCTTAATTTTCATATTTAATATGTTTAAATAAATTTTATTGTTAATATGTCCGAAGTGAATGTGACTTGCGCAAGCTGTAGTACCCGTTTTGGCCGTATTTTTATCCCTTTGAGAAAATTATAGATATTGGTAGTACAGTTCCGGAACTTACGAAATTCTTTCAGGAAACTTCCTCCTCTTTTTGAATCTTTTTTTAGATTTCTAAAATCTCCATTTGTTTTTGAGATTTTTTCAAAACACTAAACCTCCTTTTGTTTTTTTTTTAGTTAATTGTTTATAACTTTTGCAATTTTTGCAAGCAGAACTTTATTTTTTTTTTCAAAAATCATCTACATCCTATTGCGAATTGAATGACATCTTGCTTATATTTTTCTGAGACTGTTGAAAAAAGTTAACCAAAAAAGCACTTGTTGACTAGACTATTAAATGAAAATACATTTTGATTAATGTAAGAAAAAATAAAATACTTTACATTTATTAATTTGTTATTATTAAAGTGAAATGTAAATTAAAAAACAGATTAGGAGAGTAAATTTAACTACTTTTAGCCCATTGAATGAATTTTTTTATATAATTCACCCTATATAAATAGAATTTTATTGTTTGAATCATTTTCTTTCCTTGATAATAATAGGGGTAAGGTTAGTTTTTCATTATTTTTGCTATTAAAAAAAATATAAAAATGAATGGTATATAAACCTGAAATTTTTAAAATATTAAAATTGTATATTTATACAATTTCTTAAATATAATCGTATCTGTTTATTTCGTGCAAATTTAAATAAAACTGAGAGCTGATAAATTGTATAGGTAGGTACCTATGTATGATTAAAAAGCTGAGAATGTGAATTTGTTTATAATTACTAAATATAATTAAATGTTTGTGAATAAAATAAATAAAACAAGGCTAAACGTTAACATTTTATTCTAAAAAAAAATAAAATGCTGGGAAAATCTAAAACAAAACAACAAACAAACAAAAAACACGTAAAGAAAATAACAAAAATGATGTATTTTTAAATACCTAAGTCTTTATTTAGGCTGCAGGAATACCAAGAATTTAAACATAAAATCATTTTCGCGGATTCTGCGTTAAGGCGGTTTCGGTGTTTCCTTATTACAAGACCTGCTTTTGAAAATGGTCTTTCAGCAGGAACACTAGTAGCAGGTATTGCTAGTAAATCTCGAGCTATTTTAACAAGATTTGGATATATACCTTCGTGCTCCCTCCACCACTTTAAGATATTTGTATCACGACCAGCTCTTTCTCCATCAATGTATCTATGATATTCTGCCTTTGCTATGTCCATATAGTTACTGGTCGTTTTCTTGTACAAGCCAGCCATGATTTCATCACTGCTTGATGAATCTTTTTCTTGCTCTGGTTCTGTTATGGCAACAGAAGGTTTTACATAAAATGAATAAAAAAGTTCTTCAAATTTTTTTAAAGATCCATTCTTAATTTCTTTTCCCCATGAGGTTAGATTAAAAGTTTCAATTCTGTGCCTCGGATAAGGCGGCACAATAAACCCAATTGGTTTTATTATAATGTTTAAGCATTTTGTCTCTGCCAGCTTGAAAGGCTTCTATCAATGTTTCTTCAACAAGATTTTCTTCGGCTTTTACGTTAAGCGTCATTAAAAAAGATTCTAGTTTATCCAACAAAATATTAAAACCAACTATAACCATAGGTAATGTAGGGTAGGTTTCTCCACACAATGCAGTACTCAATGTTTTAAAATATTTTAAAAACTTGCATACTACCTCAATTAACTTCCATTCATCTTCAGAAAGAACAAACTGCCTCAAATTTTCATTGCTTTGTATGAAAGTATTTAGTGCTTTTTTAGTCGGATAGCCACATTTAACATATCACAAGTTGAATTCCACCTTGTAGATACATCTATATTTACTGATATGTATTGTACGTTGGCAGCATCACAAAGGGTCTTTAATAGATTTTGAAGTTGCTCGGATTTTTTAATTTTTTTAAAAATACATCTAACTTTAATTAAGGGTGATAGTTCTGCATTCTGATTAGTTTCATCTTCTTCTTCATCATCGTCGCTCTTTTCCTCTTCCATATTCTCGTTTTCAAGTTTTAATAACTTTAAAGTGTCTTGTACTCCCAAGTTGATAATATGTGCAAAACATCTAAAGTGATCATCTTCTGAGTTGAAAGAGTGATCAGGATAATCCTTTTTAATTAAATTTTCCAGTTCTTTAATAAAATTGGTATTTGCTGCCGCGTTATCCACTGTTATTCCCTGAATTTTGTTAATAATTTTATGTTCCTGTGCAGATGTGTAAAATACATTTGCAATATCACTTCCAGTGAATGTAAATTCCAAAACTTATCAATATAGTGAGCTGTGATTCCATAATATGACTCATAATTTATTGATGTCCACCCATCGATAGTAAAAGAAATTTTTGATTTGACCTCTTTTAAAATGTCGTGGACTTTACTTTGAGCCGAAGTAAATGTTTTTCCTCTTAA